CTGTATTCGCACCCTGTGTTTGATTTAATGAACAAGTACCCTGTACCGTGTTGAAAGAATGGGCACCCTGTATTTCGTTGAATGATCGCTGTTTTGCAAAACTCGAGTTATCAGAATAAATATCGTATGGCCCGGCTTGAATAGGCCTACGACGTTCCTTCGGCAGCTCGAGATTCACAGCAGCATCATGAAAAACATTTGAAGTTTTTTGATTCATGAACTTTTCCATATTTTTTTCAAATAATCGCTCCACAGATTTCGAAATCATGATTTCAATCTCTTTCATCAAAGACAACCTTGGGTCTGACTCTTCTTTTTTTGTATTTGTTTTCTTTTTTGCACCACCAGTCGCGAGAGAATCATCGTCGCTCATCGTAATTATGTCAACAAAAATATCGTTCACACCAGAAAATGAATAATAAAGAATATGAGTTTTATATGGAAATCACTTACATTCAAGCTACACTATGCTATGTGTAATTCAATCTCCTGTTGATTTGTCCGCTGTTGCTTTTTTCAATCTTTCGTTGCCCGCTTGCTTGTTCACACGCTTGGCCCAGAAGAATGCTCTCGATTTGCAGTTTTTTTCATTCGATGTTTTTTCTTCTTCGCTTCTTGGAATATTCAGTCCGATGGAAATGTTTTTTTCTCTTTGTGTTTGTTTTTTTTCGTTGACAAAAGTTCAATTTGTAAAACTCGTTCAAGGTAGTGTATTGCAATTAGTTGTTTTTTTTTTTCGCGTTCAAAATTTCATTTGAAACACAATTTTAGACACTTTTCGTGTTATTGGGATATCACTACTATTGTGTGTATATCACTTGTTTTATCTTTGTTTAGTGTATTCACTCTTTCGAATCACATAAATTTGATTTTTGTTTTATGCACTATTTATTTCCAGTCCATTTCAGGTTGATGGATAATGCCTATGTTGTGTATTCACTTTTTTGAATTCCACTGATTTTATTTTTTCAACTCTTGAAAATAATTATGATCATTTTCGATCAAAACAAATTTCTTAGTCCAAAACCTTAGCAGTGCCAGTGTAGTGGGTTGGTTATATTGAGAATGAGTATAACGATGTTTTGTGATTGACATCAAACTTTATTCTAATTCTTCTTCACATTTTATAATTGTCATTAGCGAGTGTCGCATGCGCATCGCGAGATGCGGTGAGCATGCAACACCGTTGGAGAAATAATGAGTAGACGGGTCACACAATTATAATAATAATGACGATCCGTCTACAGGGCCAATATATTTTACCAATGATGTACGGTTGGAAAGTTATGGCTCCCCAAGTGATGACATGTCAACTTTTTGCACTATTTTGGCACTAAATATCACTTGAGGAGCCATAACTACTCAACCAGACATCAAAGGCATATGGCATTAGTCTTATTTTTCAGCTAAGAATATCAGCTTTAAAATTCCATACCGCCAAAACTGAAATATATCATATGTCATGACTCAATGTCCACCAAACCACCAAAAATTGGTCCAAAACCAAATTTTTTCCATAAACATGAATTTATTTCCTCTCAAATATTGAAAAAAAAGTACATTCAAGCTTATTTCATCTGTACCAATGTTTGAGTAATTTTTAAAGATGTTTTTCATTGTATATGAGTGAAAAATTTGATTTTTGGGACCATTTTTGGAGGTTGTGGTGTACTTTGAGGCAGATTAGACCATGAAAGATGAAATGTTTCAGTTTAAGCGGTATGGCATTTTAAAGCTGATGTTCTTAGCTGAAAAATAAGGCTAATGTCACATGCCTATGTCGTCTGGTAGGGTACTTATGGCTACTCAAGTGATAATTAGTGCCAAAATAGTGTAAAAAATGAGCATGTCATCACTTGGGAAGCCATAACTTCAAAACTGGACATCATAGGTGAATCGTATTGGCCCTATTTTTTTAGCTGTGAACATACGCTTTAGTGTAGCATACATTAAAAACTGAAATATGGCTGTTGTCATGACTTCATTTGGCCAAATGTCCACCAAACGCTCAAAAATTGGTCCAAAACTAGAAATATACCTACAAATGAGTGAACTTTTCCACTCAAATAGCTAAAAAACAAGTTCACATTATCCATGGAGACACTTTAACAAAAATTCAAGCAAAAAATATGGAAAGATATACAGATATTTGCATGTAATAGGCCAAAATTCACAACAAATTGACCATTTTTGGTACCAAAGAGTGATTTTGAGCCAAAAAGGTAGATAGAACATGATTGTTCTGGGTTAGTATGTTGAGCAAAGTTGCTCAGTTATACGTTGGCTACAAAATTGCCGAAAATAGTGGCCATAAAAATTGAATACGCTGCGAGTTATGCGAGTTATGATTGAAAAATGGTAAAAAATGGGCATTTTTGCGATTTTGAGGCCCTAGATGCCTTTTTTGGGGTAAGTTTGTTCTGCATTTTTTCTCTCCCATTCAATACCTACAAGTTTGATCAAGATCAAACAACAATATTCATAACGGGTAACCGAGTTATAGCCGTGTGGAAATATTGAAAAAGTGCTCAAAATCCACCATTGGCCAAAAAACTCAGGATTAAATTAAATCCTTAAATGAAAAAACTTTTTAAAAATATTTGGCAGGAGTTCTTGTTTCGGTAAGTACTTTCACGTGGAGTTCTCAGAAATGAGTTTGCCTTCCATGACTTGAAAAATGTTGCACTGTGTAATGAGCGGCAGTGTCTACATTAGTGGTGAAAGCGGGTAAATTAAAATTCTGGTATTTCCTCAGAGAATATGTATAAGTTAAACTAAGTTGTAATGGTGATTGACAATGGTTGAGAGAAGTTTATTTTTCAGTAAATACATTATTACAGACAAACAGTTTGGGTTTCATAAATCCAGCAAAGTAATATCTTCTATTTAGTGCTGTGAGCAATTGAAAAGACAAATAATAGAAAAGTTGATGGTTGAACAAAGCAGCAATATTAATATTGCTGTCTATACGAACTGGATCTAATCCAAATCCTCTGCAATATTAATCTTGTTTCCTTTACCGACCAAAAGTTTAGCGAGTTCAGTGTGACCTGGAAAACAATAAAAAAGATCAATGAAAGATATTAAAGCGATATTTCATTTAGTCAGCATTACCAGTGTGAGTAGCTGATTGAATAGGTGTCCGATTCTCATTATTTCTAATATTAGCTTCAGCTCCATTTTTGATGAGAAGTTTAGCAACATTACTGTGACCTAAAAAATGAACGAGAAAGAAAGAATCAAACAAATCCTGCATTTTGTGGAAACAACCATTCAACATTACCATTCTCAGCAGCATAATGAAGAGCCGTGTTATTGAAATTATTTTGGATATTAACATTGGCTCCTTTTTTGATAAGAAGTTCGGCGACATCCTTGTGACCTGAAAAATAGCACAGATCGATGAAAAAAGATCAGACCAATCTTTTATTCAATAAAAACGAATATTCAACATTACCATTCTGAGCAGCTAAATGAAGAGGTGTCGTATTGTAATAAGCTCGGATATTAACATTGGCTCCTTTTTTGATAAGAAGTTCGGCGACATCCTTGTGACCTGGAAAATAGCACAGATCGATGAAAAAAGATCAGACCAATCTTTTATTCAATAAAAACGAATATTCAACGTTACCACTCATAGCAGCAAAATGAAGAGCTGTCAAACCCATATTATTTCTAATTTTAGGGTCGGCTCCTTTATTGAGGAGTTTTTGGACTTCCTTCATTTGGCCTCAAAGAATATACAAAATATTCATAGATCAATAAAACGGATTGAAAAAAAAACAATCTTTTAAAAAGTAAATGTCCAAAATTACCAGCATTAGCAGCTCTATGCAGATCTGTCTCTCCATTTGCGTCTTTTTGGTTTACTGAAAATTGAAAATAACACTGTACAACAAAAAAATTTCAACTCGAAGACTGAGCAAACGGGTATTATAGGGTCAAAGCAGACGTGTGCAAGGTCAAAAATTCAAGGGGGGGGGGGGGGGGCGGGATTTGGAAATCGATTCTATCTAGTGTAAAACCAGTCTCCGAAAAAAGTGAGGACTAAAAAAAAAAAAAGGTCCTCACTTTTGAAAATCGATTACATCTAGTGTAAATTTTTCCACATCGCTGGGGGGGGGGGGTCCACATTTTGGAATCCTATAGGGGGGGTAAAACCGGAATACCCCCCCCTTGCACACGTCTGGGTCAAAGTAGGTGCCAAATCTAGCAAAACCTCATCTCTGGTTTTTCCCTAGCGCGTCACAATTTTTTCTAATCGCGATAGGCGTTTTGTAGCATTTTCTGATTTAAAAAAAATCTTTGGACTTTATTTCACCAACCGTTGAACATTTCTTAATACTGTCTTTGGCAAAGTTGTTCAGAATAATAGCGTCTACGAAACTGGTAACATGCTAACGACCTGAGGGGTCATAGAAGGACGCTTAGGGACAAAATGTCGCGAAAAAAGCCGAATTTTTCAAATTTTCGACCCTATCTCGCAGAATTTTCGATATATTTGGTTACTGTTTTTAGAAATTTTCTATCTAACGTATAGTAGTACCGTAAGCAATTGAAAAGACAAATAACAGAAAAGTTGATGGTTGAACAAAGCAGCAATATTAATATTGTTGTCTATACCAACTGGATCTAATTAACTAACTCTGCAATATTAATATTGTTTCCTTTACCAATGAGATAATTAGCGACTTCAGTGTGACCTGGAAAACAATAAAAAAGATCAATGAAAGATATTAAAGCGATATTTTATTTAGTCAGCATTACCACAGCGAATAGCTGATTCAATAGGTGTCCAACCCAAATTATTTCTAATATCAGCTCTAGCTCCATTTCTGATGAGAAGTTCAGTAACATTCTTGTGACCTAAAAAATGAAAGAGAAAGAAAAAATCAAACGAATTCTGCATTTTGTGGGAAAAACCATTCAACATTACCATTCTCAGCAGCTAAATGAAGAGATGTCGCATTGAAATTATTTTGGATATTAACATTGGCTCCTTTCCTGATGAGAAGTTCGGCGACATCCTTGTGACCTGAAAAATAGCACAGATCGATGAAAAAAGATCAGACCAATTTTTTATTCAATAAAAACGAATATTCAACGTTACCATTCTGAGCAGCTAAATGAAGAGCTGTCAAACCTATATTATTTCTAATTTTGGGGTCGGCTCCTTCATCGAGAAGTTTTTGAGCTTCCTCCATTTGGCCTTAAAGAAGATACAAAATATTCATAGATCAATAAAACGGATTGAAAAAAAAAACAGTCTTTTAAAAAGTAAATGTCCAAAATTACCAGCAGAAGCAGCTCTATGCAGAACTGTGTCTCCATTTGCGTCTCTTTCGTTTACTGAAAATTGAAAATAATAGCAGATCATTGAAGTGCACGCACTCTTATCGAAGAAATGGGGAAATGGATGTTTCGCTATTCAGAGAATGTGCTTGCATTTCGCATAATAATGAAACATGTTGAACAAAGATCATATCGATAAGATCAGAGTTGACGTAGCTTATACCAAACCAAAAATGGAACTTAATAAATACCGTTCACTCCATGCACATTCACGACAAGGAACTGTGGAAATAAAACAAAGTTATCACTTGGATTTGGAACAATGGATGAAATTTTTCAGGATTTTTTTTTTAATTGAAAAATTTACTTGAAAGTTGACATTTTTCATTAAAGAAATTTGTCTAGAAAAAATTATTTTAAATATTTGACTGAAAGAATTGAATGACAAAAAAAATTGGCTGAAATTGGCGACTCACCTGAGATATCATCAAGCCAACGAGCAGCAGTGTAAAAGATCTTCGACTCAGCATTTTTCGAGCTTCAAACTATCATAATTTCACTGTAAACGTGTCGATTGATAAGAATTGTTTGATGGCCATTCGAATGTATATCCTTATATACTTTTCAAGTGTGGTCACATCAGTTAGCAACACACAGGGTAATTTAACCCACGTATAATGAAAATTCTTATTACAACCCATAGAATATGTGCGATAAATATTTTTCAAGATAAAAATGTCAAACAGTTGATAGAATTTCAATTCCACCTGTGCACGTGTGTATTATTTTGCGTTTCACATCAAATG